TTGCGGGGTCAGCGGGCGCTTGGGCGCCCGCCTGCCTTCGTCCCCACGTAACCTCGCTGGCGGCATCTCTCTGTTCGGCGCTCCCGGTGAGCCTTCAGACGCAGGTGTGACAGCCTGAAGGTGGGCGGGGCCGGATGGGGACCCGAGTCTAGTTTCACCGAGAGAACTTTTTTTTTTTTTTTTTAAGTTGAGCTTGGAGGGATTCTTCTTCAGCCGCGTCTGGCCGCCTCCCCCTTCCTAGAAATGCTCCCCCTTTTTCTGCTGCAGCTTATCTGGGGCGTTGCTTGATTTTCTGCTTGTTTCCTTTCTCTGCTCAGCATCAGCACAAGTAAAGTGGACTTTTCTTACCATTGTCTTCCGACACTCAAGTTTCCATCGCCACAAAGCATGCAACTTCCTTCCTTTGTGTGTGTGTGTGTGTGTGTGTGTGTGACAAAATGAAAGCGTTGGCACTACAAATTGGAGAGGACTGAGGAGGCAACAGATGACGCAGTTTTGCTTGGGAATGGGCAAACGCCGAGGCCAATTCGATGTCACGTGACAAAAACGGCGACATCAATGGAGAAGCATCGGAAGCAACGCCATGTTTCCGCCTGACTCAGACTGAAGATCAACTTTCTTCCACCTCATCGGCTTCAACTTGCCCAAACAAAACCCCACGGCGGAGAGGCTCTCACCGGCATTGCTGGACGATCTGGAACTCCCGCGACGCGAACCCTCAGGCATGATGCGATGAGGTCACAGGAACAGGAAGTAACCTAAACAAGGCGCGCGCGCAGAGTGAGGGCCGAGGCGCGACTTTTCGCACGCATGCAGGCACGACGTGCGGATGGCGCGCCGGTAAGGACGCCGAGCTACTACTGCAAGGCCGCTGATGCCGCCACGGGTTGCGCTGGCGCGCTGTCAGGGCAACCGCGAAGGGGCAAAACACGATCACAAAATGATCCATTTGGAGATGTCAATCAACTGGCATATGTATCGCCGCCACGAAGCCTTTTCCTTCCAAAAAAAACGCCGCTTCAAACCAAATTGGCCGACCTGTTCTATTTTGCACGTGGGTGCTTCAGACTTTTTGGGTGCGCCCGATTATGATCAACGAGCGCACCCAATTTCACCTCAATCAGTGAAACTGGCGCCTGGGGCAACATTTTTTTTTCCCAGGAGTGTATTACCATAAATGCTTCTTAAAAAAAATAATAAGAAGAAGAAAAAATAGATCTATATCCATCTATACATATAGCAGAAATTTTATTTTTAAAGTTGACTTTGGGGGAGTGAGAGAGTCAAGACTCACAATTGAAATCCCAATTCTGAAGCCGCCTCTCTCTTTTCAACCAAGCCTTCCTTTTTTTGCCACTCAAGCGGTATTTTATCCCAGGCAGGGTACAATTTTGTAAAGTGGCAGTTTGACGTTTGAGTTTCCAAGTGACGTCATCGCCATCGTCGACGCGCAGTCAACAATCGTTTTTGTTCGGAGCGGACCCGTTCGAAGCCTCGGCGCTGCCCCCGGCGGGTCGCCGGGCTAACTGCGGGCGGACAACGCCATGCCTCGTCCCCATCAAAGGTCGAGCAACTTTTTTTTTTTCTCGTTGCATTTCAAGCGCAAGCGAAACAAACGCGCGAGGAGCCTGACCTGCCTTCCAGATGAGCCTTCGTCGCCTCCGCGCAATTTCTTGCCACTCACGCGCGCGCGCGCGACCCCTCGGCTCGCACGCCAGCGCTCCAAAAAGCTCCGGAAGGCTCCATCGGCCCGCGTGACGTTTCCTCGGCGCAAGCGAGTCTCACCCGCCGCCGCGGCTCGACCAAGTCCGCGCGGGCGCCCTGCACGGCGGCGTCCGATCCGCTGCGACTGAGCGAGCCGCGGGGGAGGAAGGGACGGATGGAGGGAGGGAGGAAAGGAGAGAGAGAGAGAGGGAGGGAGGGAAGGCAGCGATGGAGGAGGTCCGAGAGAAAGAGCGAGAGAGAGAGAAAGAGAAAGAGAGGCGCCAGCTGCTCGCAAGCGCAGGAAAAGTCGTGCGCAGCGACAGGAAAAAAAAAAAAAAAAAGAAAAAAAGAAAAGCTGCGTGGAATGTTTCTCATCTTTGGAGATTTGCTGACATCGTCGCCGTAAATGGCGCCGTCAATTGCCTTTGAGCTGACTCACGAGACAAAGCAGACACTCGCACACACATCCTTTACGGATGCGTCTGTGTGTGTACTGCGCGTGCACACACCGCTCACGCGAAAACATACTTCCCCACACACGCAAACATACGCTCAAAAGTGTCTTTTTGGCAAAAATCTGTTGAAGGGGAAAACAAACAAACAACAACAACTTGAGGTCAGTTTGTACATCATCCACACGCGAGCAAACACTCAGGCACCACTGATTGTGGACTGCGGGCGCGCACGCGTGTCAGATGGCATCTCGCACGCGCCACAGACAAGACAGCAGAAATGCAAGTCAAGTGCAGCCATTCGTGCGGGAGCCAAACGTGCCGAGCAGCGCCGACGTCCAAAGTGACGACTTTGGTCCTGCGCCTACGTGCTTACGTGACACTCCAAACATCGAGCCAATTTTGTGGCAATCGGTGAAACCGGTGCCCGCTTCATCCACACCATCAAAATTGAGCCAAGATGGCGGACGGGGCAAAGCAAGGCAAGGCGGCTTCTATTCAAGTCAATGTGCCTCACACAAGCCGAGAAGCAACACCGAAAAGCGTTTCCACACACAAAAATAAGTCCGATTTTTGTTTTTTTTTTTGGGGGGGGCGCATTGAGAACCAGAGACAGACGGCATGCACGCAAAAGCACGAGATACACAAAAAGGGACCAGGAAAAAAAAAAAAGCGGCGTGACATGGCCTTGTCCCAGGCGGGCGTCTTTTCTCTTTGCTTCATTGACGGCTTCTTACGAGTGGACAAACGCACACGCGTGCACGCAAAGCGTCCAAACACAAACGGAAGCAGACAAAGAGCCGCCGCCACCGAAGGACGCCGGGCGCGGCGAAAAGTGCTGAGCCGGCCCCTTTTTGTGTGTTATTCCAAGACCGCCGGCCGACATTCCTGTTGCCAGTTCCCCCGGCGCGATCGCCCGCCTCCTCTTCGCAGAGGTCAAAGGTCAGGAGTGAGCAAAGGGGCAACGCGGCCCCCTCGGCCTTCGCACCGGTTCGGATTTAGCGGCAAAGCGAGAGGGACCGCGCGGTCGGCGTCGAAAAAGTTTGCGGCCGGAGTTCCGCCGGGCTCTTTTGCTCCGCCGCTTGCATCCTCTTCCCAAACAACGTTCACGACGTCCCTCGGCTCCTTCAGAAACAGGCCGACTTCAAAAAAAAATCAAGTCTCATGCCGAGTCAAAAGCCAAAGACTCAAAATGACGAATGTTCAAGACTGTCAGCGAGGGGGCTCGCCAAACGTTCATTCCAAAGCGAGCGACGAGGCTCCGTCCCCGAGAGGTCGGGTGGGGCGCGGCCGTTTCAAGATTGGAAAAAAACAACAACAAAATAACAAAAAATAGCATCTGAAATAGAACTGAAAAATGTATCGGGAGCCAGTGAAAGGGATGCCCGAGGAGGAGGAGGAGGGATGCGCTCCCTCTTCCGAGTTGCAGTCCAGAGGCCAGCAGCGGCATTCTGGAGCGACTGGAGACGCTTGATGGAGGATGGACTGACTCCAAAGTCAAGCGCGTCATCCAGCCGATCACTCCAAACGACATCGGGCGCAAGCAAGCGTGCGCTTGTCACCCAAACTGTCTTTGAAAAACGACGTGGGGCATCACAAGCACGCACACTTGCGGCAGAAAGAAACTCTCAAACAGAATCGTTGGCAGAAGGACCCGCCGCTCGCGTATGCCAGACAGATTCTGACAATCCAACTGCCCCCCCCCCCGCCGCAGACTGAGATGACTCACGTTTCATTTGTCTTCTTCTTGAGTCAGACAGCGAGAGGGCTTCACCACTGCCTGCTCAGATCTCACGCACGCACGCACAAGCAGGCCGAAGCCACGTGTCGCAAGTTGACGACGCGAAGCCAGCAAAATGCGCAGCAAAGACGCCGACGGAAATGCAGAACCGGATGGCGGTCACGGTGCGGCGAGGGTCCGATCGAGTCGTGGGGGGTCGTGTCTTGAAATGTGGAAGCGCTCGCATCCGCTCCTGAGCGAAGACATTTCGACTCGTTTCACGTCGTGAAGAAAACGAGGAGGAATCGTTTTTCATGGCGGCATTTCGCGTTGATTCTTGGGGGGATTGCATCAACAATCAATGAAGCACACTTTGAACGAGACGACTCAATGCATGAATGAGAGACATCTTCGTAAAAGTGATTGCACTTTTACAAAAATGTATGAATAAATGCACGCTTTTTGGGGGGTGTTCTTGACACTGACTCCATGAAAGAGGGCCTGGTGAGAAAAGAAGGGCAAAGCAAAAGTGACGCTCGCTGGCTGGCCCGATTGAACTCGGACTCGAGTCGAAGGCCGGCAGCCACTCGCGGGATGCCTCGAATTCTTTCCCAGGTCCGTCGTTAAGCTCCGCCGCTCGCGTCCGGATCGAGTCGCGCCGCGCCAACGAGCCAAACGCGCGCCAGCAGAAGAAGCGAAGAGGAGGCGCGCGAGATGGTCGAGCGGGCCCGTTCAAAAGTGACGTCGGCGGCTCCCATTGAAAGCCCCCCCCGCCCCCCCTGCTTTCGTGTTGACTTTCCAGCCGTTCCCACGACACCAAATGACCCGGGCGGGCTTCCTCTCTCGCTCGCTCGGCCGTCGGCCCGCTTCTCGCTGGCCTAAAAAGGAGAAGAAGTCCTGCGGCTGTGGGCTGCCTCCGTTTGAATTTGAATTTCGTTTTTTTTTTTTTGAACGCAATGTTTGGCATCGATGGCGGCACAAGTGTCCACCTCACTCCTTTTTTTTTTTTCCCAAGGTGCACAGCCTCGACGAAATGGCGCTTCTTCTTCATGTTTCCTGCGTAGCCGTTTTCATTTGGCAGAAAATCTGTTCCAAAATGGCACTTTTTGTGGTTGTTCTCATCGGCGTTGCTTTGGCCAAAACTCGGCTTGAAGGCATTGTCAAGTGAAAAGAAAAACGGAGAAGATCGTTGCTGGCGACCCCGCCGCATTTGCTTCAAAGCGGTGAAAGAAAAGACGCCGCTGTCGCCGCTCTGAATCTGCACCGAAAGCGAGCCCGGCCAATCGAAGAACAAGCACTTGCTCCTGTGTGCCTGAACGATGCGTTCAGGAACAACTTGGAAATTAGTCAACAGTCCTTCTTTTTCTTGCATCGCCTTTGCGTGCAGTCATACCACGCCAAGAGGTCAATTCGCGTCTGGGGTCAAGGCTGAGACGCTCGCCAAACCGGCTGCCATCGTAATTAACGGTCAGATATCCTTCATCTGCTGCCGAGATGAACCAGTATTAGTGCCGCAACGCTGAGCTGAGAGGAGTGATGGCTTCATGAACAATCCTGTCTCTCTTACAGTGACTCCCGGTGGTCAAGGTGGGCACAGCAGAAGACAAGCGCAAAGACCTTTCCATTGATGCAGGATGAAAAAAAACGGTTTATTCTTTTAAAATGGAACCATGTCATGTCTTAATATGTTTTTGAACAAAACTTTTTTTTTAATCACTAATATTTCTTTACTCATTAAAATTCAACATTTGTGTTTGCGTTTTAAGGAAGGCTGGAACAGAGGCACTTGCATTCATTTCAATGGGAAAAGATGATCTGAGTCGCGAGCGTGGTCACGTCATCAATTCAACTTGTATCTCAAGTCACCACCGTCGCGTTAAGCCCCGCCTATTTGCAGATTGGCTGGGAAAACTCGCAAGTTGCGGTCCTCGCGAGTCAAGGTCCTGCTCCGTCATCGAAGCGATTTGGAACGATTGAAACGCTCTCGCCGTCGTCATAGAAACAAGGCGACGTTCAAGTCAACAAACCACTGGACGGGAGGTCGGACATCTTCCTCAGCGTTCGGCCGCCGCTCGTCCGTTCGCCGGAGCCGAGCGCGCGGCCGCGGCCGAGCTGCTCCCGGAAGGCGTCGCAGAACAGGAAGTAGATGAGCGGGTCCAGGCAGACGTTGAGGACGGACACTGCGACGGTGGCGTCCTTCAGGTAGAAAAAAGCCAACCTGGCCGAGCAGCCGGACGGCTTGAGCACGGCGTAGGGCAGGCGCACCAGGTGGTAGGGCACGAAACACACGCAGAAGACGCTCACCAGGGCCAGGATGTTCCTGCGGGACTTGAGCAGCTTGCGGGCGGCGGAGGACGCCGCCCGCCGCCGCTGCGCCGCCGCCAGCCTGCGGGAGGTGCTGCTGTAGAAGAAGAGCAGCGCCAGCAGAACCAGCAGGAAGACGGCGGTGGAGAAGCCGTGCACCGCCTTGGGAGAAAAAGGGAAAAGGCCACTTAATTCCAGCCGCTTGGCCATCCGGGCCGCCGTCGTGGGCCCAATTTTCGCTCCGGCGGCGCTTGTTGAACACGCTGAAAACGAAAGGCTTCTCCGGAGAGGGAGGGCAACTCTTGTTCATCGGTCCGCAGATTAAAACAGCCATCGAATCGAGTGCCAAAGCTGCTGACCAGTTTACCTGCCAACCAACCAACCAACCCCTTGAATCAATTGTCTCACCGACTGACTTGCTCATCACTTAGCCAACCAACCAACCAGTTGACCAACTCAATCAATCAATCGATCAATCGTCCGTAAGCCAGTCGACTGACTCGGCAACTTCCGGGCTCGTTTGTCCCGTCGCACATTCAAATGCCAAACGTCAGCATTAAAAATCCAACTCAAAATGGGCCAACCTTGTAGAGGCGCTTGAGCTGTCCGCTTTGGAGGTCGTCGCAGCTCGCGACGCCGGCGATCAGCGGCGCAGGAGCCTCCGGAGCGACCAGCGACAGGATGACGTAAGCGCCCGCCACGGCGAGGAGGACGAGCCACGTGGCCGCCGAGACGACGTGAGCCGCCCGCACCGATTGCAGCAGAGGAGTTCCCAAAGGGTGGACGATCTTCAGGTACCTGGCGGGAGCGGCCCGTGAGCGACGCCGCAGAAAACGGGCGGCGGAACGCCCGTGGCCGGCCCGTTGGCAAAAGCGCCGTTTTTCCTTTCCCCGTTTCACTGTTTCACCCGGCGCAAGGCGTACCTGTGGGTGGCAATGTATCCCATGAACAGGATGCTGGCGTACATGTTGAGGTAGAAGGCGGGCGCGCCGAAGCTGCAGTAGGACCGAAGCGGCGGCTGCGAAGCGCCGGCGTGCCTGGCGATGCGGAAGGGAAGGCAAAGGCTCAGCAAGAAGTCGGCCGCCGCCAGGTTCTTCAGGTAGACGGTGACGCAGCGCGACGAGCGGGCGCCCAGCAGGAACACCTTCAGCGTCAGGCCGTTCAGCAGCAGGCCCGTCTGCTTGACACAAATCGAGACCTTGAGGGGCGGGAGGCCGCTTGAGGACGGCGGCTTTGTGCCGAAGCCGGCCCGACGAACTCTCGCGTGACGACTCGTTTTCGCCATTCGGCCACGTTTGCGCACCGTTAAAAAAGAGATCTATGCGTGCGTCCGACATGTCGTTTTGGAAGAGTCTCACCAGGAAGACCAGGCTGTAGACGGCCGCGAAGATGTGACGGGTCCAGGCGGCGGGCGGGTACCCGCACGTGGAAAAGCTCTCGTTGGAAGACCGGTTGAAGGGCGCGGGCGCTCCGACCACCGCGCTCATGGTTGCGGATCCTCGGGAGGAGATGCGGAAACTTCCGTGCTCTGCGCGAGGAACGCCGGGACGGACTGCGAGTGAGAGGAAGGGAAACAACATTTCTGTTGTGGGGCGCCGCGACCTTTCCGGATGGCTTCTCGCGAAAAGTCGGACGAGAGGACGGGAGCGCAGAGGGGCCTCGATGTCCACCCCAAGTAAAAGGGATGCTCGCGTGTGGGAGGGCTCTCTCGGAGCACGGGAACACAACACCGGTTTGTCACTTTTCAGGAAGTCATCGTCCGAGGTCGTCCTTTACCGGCTCGGCGGCAACGACGCAAACGGTTCGCTGCTGACGCCGCTGCTCAAAAGTAGCGTTTGCTTCGGCGATGTTGGCAAAGTTGGCTTGAAGGAATGATTCGGGATCGAAGCCAATTTCTGGACAGCTGCACACCTGAGGGGTGGGATGGGGGGATGGGGGGGCGCAACCACTCCCGGGCTCTCCAAACGGGGACTGGAATGCACTCGGCCGTGTTTACAGACATGAGGAGGCCTCGGAACCTCCAAACACGTCCAAACTATCCTCAAATAGCTTCGGAACGCCACAAAAGGGACCCGAGATGTTAACGCTGGCCTTCTTGCAGAAAAGACAAGAGAACGCTCAGACGCTTCCTTCAAAATGTCAAACCGCCACCAAGGCCACACACACGCACACACACACACGCAGACGTGATACGCAGGAGCTTGTCAACTCACCTCCAGTATGTGCGCTCGACTGCTCGCCACTTCCTCCTGCGCCGCCGCCTGATCTGCTGCGGTGTACGCGTCATTTGCATGACAAACACGCGCGCTCGCAGGGGCAGCTTTCCAACGAAGGCGTATTCCGTTCAAGCGAGCGTGACTTTGTCTTGCTTTTGGAGGTGTTGCAACGTCTTGGGAGGGCCGACCAACCCACACCCAAAAATGACCCATCGCCGGACAAACCCGGGACTGCTCGCCAGTCAATGGCAGAGCGCACACGGACAACCGATCCACCCACCGCTCACCGACGGTCGCCTTGTTGAGTACGGCCGCCGTTTGCCGCGCATACGAGCGACTTCCACATCCTTTTTCTCAATAATGTGGAAGTGGCATTGACTTTCGGGACATTCCAACGCTTCGTGTAAACAAGCTTTGCGTGGCTCAGGGTCAGAAAACTACAAAAATCCACCTGAGCTCGACGTCAACCTCTGACAACGTCGAAGCCGTCGCCGCAGCACCCCTTGGGGCGCCGATTGGCCACGATTTGACGTTCGCGAGGGGAGAAAAAGCTTCATGTTCGAAAAACGACAACCAATCGCCAGCAAATAATCTTTTCCCAGTCGACACAGGTGGGACGCGTGTTGAGACTTTCGGTAGCGGTTCTCCACCGTTGAGCTTTTGCTCCTAGCCCTTGGGTGAAGACGGCAGACTTTTTCGGGCGGGTTTGGCGAATGGACGCGACACGCCCGCTCCAAAACGCCCGCTTTGGAGCGTCGCTTCTGCGCACTCGCGCCGAAGCGTGACAGTGAGCTCACGGATTGTCCGATCGGCTCACGGGAGAAGGGCGAGGAAAATTTACAAAGCCTCCGCCCGCCCGCAACGGTTCATTGGTAAAAGACGTCACCGTTTCCGCCGACGGCGAGGTGACGTTTTGAGTTGGTTTAAGCGTGACCGCACTGCCCTCTTTTGGTGACGTCGCACAACTGCAGACGACAGAACCCGAAGTCAGCGTTGCGCGCCTCAAGTGTCCGCGAGGGGGCGGTAAAGTGCACTAAAAATGAAACACGGCACGCGGCGCGGCTCTGCGACGAATCCATCAAGTCAGTGCTCGATCTTGATGGGTGATTGACCGCTGCGATTTTAGTTTTGGATGAACAACAAACGAAATGTGGGTTTTTTTTGAGTGACCGTTTTAAGTTTAAAGCGCTTTTTTTGCTCGATCTTGATGGATGATTGACCGCTGTGATTTTAGTTTGGGATGAACAACAAACGAGATGTGGGGTTTTTGTTTTTTGAGTGACCGTTTTAAGTTTAAAGCGCTTTTATTTGTGCTTTCAAGTACAAATGAGAGAGACGATGCAAAAGCTCTCAGGCTCAAATGGTCCCCTCACAGCAAGCGACCTTTCTCTCTTCTCACCTTCCCTCGTCTCCTCGAGCTCTCATGCTCAAGTGGTCCCCTCACAGCAAGCGACCTTTACCTTTCTCTCTTCTCACCTTCCCTCGTCTCCTCGCTTGCTCTCTCTCATGAGTCCTCATCTCTTCGGGTCCTCTCCGACTTGGCCGCCAGCCGCTCGTGTCAGGTTCCTCTCGAGCGTGTGGCTGCTTCCCGAGTTTCCCGGGACGTTTCCCCCGACCTACGACGGCGCTAAATGTTGCTGAGACTGGGCGCGGCGGCGAGAGAGACGGTCCCGTCCCCTGCCGCGAGCTTCCCCAGCAAAGACTCTCGGAACCTCCGGCACATGAGGAAGTAGATGACGGGATCCAGGCAGACGTTGACGGCGGACAGGAAGAGCGTGGCTTCCTTGGCCTGGAAGAGCAGGAAGCGCGAGCCCCGGCTGAAAGCGGACCCGGGCATCTGGCTGAGGGTGTAGGGCACGCGGCAGACGTGGTAGGGCACGAAGCAGACGAGGAAGACGGCCAGGAGGCAGAAGATGCTGCGGTTGGACTTGCGCCGCACGTCGTCGCTGCCGCGGCTGACGCGGCGGTAGGAGCGGTAGATGCGACGGGTGATGGAGGAGTAGCAGAAAGCCAGAACCAGCGCGGTGAGCCAGAACAGGCCCACGCTGAAGAAGGTGGACGCCCGGTGCCACTGGACCCCCAGCGGGCTTTTCAGCCTCATGCAGCGGCGAGACGTCTCCCGGTCGGCCGGCCGGCCGGCCAGCGCGGCGTTGGGCAGCGCGCACAGGGCGAGGAGGCCCCAGCCGAGCAGCGCCAGGACCCGGGCCGCGCCCGCGCTCTGCAGGACGTGGCCCCACGCCGAGCCCGGGGGACGCACGATCTTGACGTAGCGTTCCAGGCTGATGAGGCCCATGAAGAGGATGCCCGCGTACATGGACGAGTAGAAGAGCACCGACGTGTAGCGGCACGTGAGCGCCTGCAGCCGCCAGCCGCCCAGCCCCAGCTGCGCCGCCGCCCGGAAGGGGAAGGTGGCCAGCATCAGGAGGTCGGCCACCACCATGTTCTTCAGGTACACCACCAGGGCGGAGTCGCTGGGCACCCGGAAGAAGATCCAGGCGGCGGCGCCGTTGAGCGGCGCGCCCACCGCGCACACCACGAAGTAGAGCGAGGGCAGCACCTGACGCGTCAACACGCTGCTCACGTCGGACTGGTTGACGGGGAGATGGCCGGAGACGTTCAGAGGTCCCATCCCTGAAAAGGCCGCACACCAAGAGCAGCAACGTCAAGGCCATGAGAAGTGCTTTGTGAATCAACGTCTTCGAGGGGGCGTGGCCACGACAAGTGCTTCGCGAATCAACGTCTTCGAGGGGGCGTGGCCACGACAAGTGCTTCGCGAATCAACGTCTTCGAGGGGGTTGTGGCCACTTCCCCAACCCGCGCCGCTCCGCGACTCTCGGGCTCTTTCGACTCCCGCGGCGCTACGCCCCACAAGTGCTCGGGGGCGAACCAAATTCCCCGTTAGCCGCGTCGTTTACCGAGAGTCACAGAGTTCCTTCCTTCCTTCCTTCCCGGGGGCATCGTTCTCCTTCAGCGAGGCACCCCCGTAAGGACGGCGCTCAAGTCAAAGCAGAAGATACACGAGAAGGCCCGCAACTCTCAGAACCGGTCGCCACAGGAAGCGAGTTCAGTCCACATTCTTGCACTCCAACTATCGCGCAAACAACTCGCGCACGTCGGCCGTTTCATGCAGCAACTCCGCCAACATTCCTGGAGCGGAACGAGACCATCGTGAGTCCATCCCGAGATGCGGCATCTCGATCACAACGCAATCGAGCAAAGCAACTCAATCTAGCTGGCGTATTGTTTCATGATCTTGGTCAGAAGTTGCGCTGGTTTATGGAAATAAAGTGACGAGCTTGTTTTAGGGGGATACAAAACATCAAATGTCCCCGAGTCAAGTGTTGCGAGCAAGAAGGAGTTTACTCACCGCATACACAGAGAAAGAAAAGGCAAGCGGCAGGACTTGAGGCTTGTTATCGTTGTCACTCTTCACGTTGCGAGATCTTCACTTTTGTGTTCGCCCCCCCGCCGCGTCGTCCGATGTCCCTCCTCCCCATGCGGCGTCTCTGTCTCTCTCTCTCTCTCTCTCTCGCTCTCGACTCCAAGCCGGTGCGCCAACGTCATGTTGGTCCTCTCGTTCAAGAGGAAAAAGGTTTGAGATGAAAGTTCATATCATGAGGTGATGTGTAAACATCATTTTTCAGATTCTTGGAGCGGACGTGTTGGAAGTGTGCAATTTACGGATGGCAGCAGATTGCAGTGGTGGACCGTGAGTCGCACTTATCACTGGGGAAAAAAAAAATCGGTGGACCGTAAGTTGCACTTATCACTGGGGGGAAAAAAAAATGAAAGACTGACGTGTCTGTCACCACTAATATTTCAGCTCGGACCAATGTCAAAAAAAAGATTTTTTAACTTTATGTCGACAAATTTCTGAAGGTGAATGAAAGCAATCGTTTTAAGCGGTCGGGTGGAAATGCTTCATGTCCCCCACGCAGCCACTTTCTCAGTCGTGTTCTTCAGCGATGACAAGTCCGTAAAAGCGAGTTGGAAAGCAAGTTCATTTCAAACGGAGGGACATCGGCCCAAAATGTTTGAGTTAAATTGAAAGGATGATTTGGGGGCAGTCATCGAGCCGACTGAATGATTTCCACTTCACACCACTTGAAATCATTCGCCTGCGTCACCTCAAGAAATTCATTGCGACACGGAGGTCACATTTTCAAGTTGCACCAAATGAATTCTTTGGCATCAGTCAAAGCTCAAATACAGACTTTGTTTTTCTCTTTTGAACTATCCCGTGTTTCATTTCTCCAAAGCGCTCCGTCGCCCCGCCCCTTTTTGCGGCCTTGTTCCACGCTTCGACCGAGCCCGCGTCCGCGGCCCCTCGGCCGAAGCGTACGACCCCCAATTCATTGGGGATTTGACCAAAACGCCGGGAAAGACACATTTTATCACGTGTTTGAAAGTCGCCTTCGTCTTTTGTCCCTGCCTTAGCGACCTTCTGCACTTTGGCTGCAAATAGCGCACCGCAAATCTCGGCGCGGAGCCCGCTCGAGGGGTTTTCCAAGCCAAACGGGAACTTTTGGACAATGCGCCACCGCTTTGAAGTTTTTCCACCTTACTGCGGAGGAGATAAGAGGAAGCGTTCCAGACCGAGCGCCGTTGTCACTCCGCGCACCGCCTCGCTGCGCAGGAGAATGGCAGGAAGGGGCGTCGAGCAAAAGGCCGAGCGCTCCACGGCGGCGGGAAGTCGAGCATCTCCGCTGAAACAACACGTGCGCACGTGCACAAGCGCCACTTGGGGCCTTCCTCGCATGCGAGCAGAAATCTAAACAGCGCGCTGTTTGTTTGAATGATCCACTTGCGCAAACACCTTTGATGTTTGAACGCTTCTGCGCACGTTGTCCAGAAGGAGCGAGACACCGTTTGGCCAAATTGCCTTTCCGCCTTACCTCCCGACATTGGGATTTGGGCCCGTTCTACTGCCACTTCTTTTTTCTCACCTTGCCCTCTGCTGCAGGTCTGTGGCCACGATGCCACGGTGTGCTCACGTTGCCCACTCGGCAACGGGCATCCATCGAGGCCTCTGTCTGTGCTGTGTGAAGCTTTCTTTCTTTTTTTTACCTTGAACAGTGGGGAGAGGTTGAGACGAGCCCAACTCGTCGATCTTTGTCAACTCGAGAACTTGGCCAGCCATCTTTTGAGTCATACTTGGAGCTAAAGCGATTTCAACTTGAACGCAAGCCACTCAGGTTCACAGTTCGACGCGTTCGGGCCGACGGTTGTTGGAGCGGCCACGAGAAAAAAAGAGGAGGGCACGTCAACGGACCTGAAAATTGGAAGGACACGGTTTCGTTTTGGCAAGGCGAACCAATGTCACGCCGGTGTTGACGAGCCCAGTTTGTTACGAGCACTTCGAAGACCCGTTTTCTCAACCGTTTTGCCAATGATCAGGCACTCGCAAAAAAAACAAAAAGCAGACCTCTGGCTTCAAGATATTGCACGTGTACATGGACGGAATCCCGGACGAAAACATTCCAAGTACACAAGTGCATGGGTGGAATCGTCCTTTGCAAGCCACAATGCTGCCGAGCTCACGCGCGGAGCGACCGACAAGGCGACGTAACTCGCTCAGCGACGACAATGTCGGACACCAAGCCAAGGTGAACGTCGTCCCCCGGCAGGCAATTTAGCGCACGGCACAGCGTCGAATTGCAAACGCTAACGCCGCAGCCCATACAGCTTTGCCTTCTTCCACTCCCGATGGGTCTCGTCTCCACTCCGTGTCTGTCGCGTCCATGTTTGGTCCGACGGACATCTTGCCAACAAGCTCCTCTTTCCTACAACCTCCCCTCCCCCCCCCAAAAAAAATCCCCGGATCCCCTCAGGCGAGTGCGAAACGTGGCTTTCTGCCTGGCGATGGCCACTTTCCATCGCGAGCCTTCCGATTGTTGTCGTTGATGTTTCGCTCTGTTCTGTTCTCTCTAAACAAACAGAGTGGACGGTTAAAGCGTTTTGCTTACTTGTCTTTAATCGACATAACTCTGGAAGCACATGTACGGAACTCAGTCTCGGAACATCGGGGAGAACATACGTCACTTCCTGTTCCCTCACCCAAAGCTGTCCCCCTAGCAACAACTCTATCTAACAATGCTATTGTGACACTTGAAGTGACGTCACATTTCCACGTTTGTCGCTGGCCGCGATCCGACTTCGGGAAAATATTTATTGTGTCAAACTTACGAACTAGACATTGTTCTTTTCATGCTTTATTTCATGGATTAAAAAAATATATTTGACTTGTAACAGAAAAATATGTCATTTGGGGATTTTCTAAAATGACTTCACACTTCTTTTGATCCCAGTTTGAAACCCTAACCCTTGTTTAAAACCCGCACCTTAATATCAAATCTTACTTTGAAACCTCGCCCTTGAAAATGGGCTTCCGTCGACAAGCACTTTATCGCTCATGTGCCAGTTGGTGGGACTCGATCGTAACTCATCTTGATGGGCCAACAAAGGCGCTATTGCGCGTGCGCGGACACACGCTTGGTCTCTTCGATGAAAGGGAGTGTGGCCTTGCGATTGGGACGGTTTGCGGTGGACTCTTTTTTTTTTTCACCTGTGAGAAGCATGTCCACATGCTGATGGGACTTGCGGTTGAAGCGCCGGTCACAAACAATACAAGTCATCGGGATTATGAGCAGTGAGGTATTTATTTATTTGGGGGGTGGGTTTTTGATGCTTTGCAATCTGTCCGACTCTGAATTTGCACCGTCTCCGAAGCATTCCTTGATGAGCGTGGCGCTCTAAATGGCTCTGAGTGGTGTGATTCAAAAGTGAAGGCAAAGGCACGGGCTCGTTCAAAGTCGCCCGGAGATGAGACGCGCGCACGTCACTGCAGGCGATGACTTCCAAGTCCGCGACGCAAATTCATTCATAAACAATCAAAGTGTGCCATGGATCCCGATGAAACTTGCACAATCCGCAAAGTCGGGCCACCCACCCTCAGATTTGAGCCAATCGCGCCTTCTGGTGGCTGCGCATATATTTCTGGGTTCCGCACGGCGGGCGTGTCATTGACCGAGACGCGAGAATCGCTGCGTTTGCAACTCGGTGAGTCAGAAGATGTTTGCCAAAGTGCTCAGTTCATGGCCAAGAAAGAGATATGGGAAAAATCAAGTGACTTTTTTTTCCAAGCCAAATTTAGCTTTTTTTTCCCCAGAAAAAAGCGTGCGCGCACTTGGTTCCAAGAATCCCTTTATGTTGGTTTATTTATTGCATAGCACAGAGGGAGAAACTCTTGTTACTTACAAAAAGAAGTCACAATGACGAACGTGTAACACCCCACCTTGAAAAAACCCCCAACACACAATGTTATTTGGGCACTTGGAGGCAGCGAAATCAAATATTGGGTTCCCGCCCATTTGCAAACATGGCTCCGTAGCGCCCCCCGCCGTTAGCAATGCAAGTAGTTGATGTTCACAATGGGAGGGGCCATTGAAAAAAAAAAACAGATTTGATTGACAGGCAGCACTGGCAACACGTATTCTTTTTTTTTTTTTTTTTTTGCTGTGTTGGTGTGGTAACCATGGCAACCGGACAGGAAGCAATTCCAGTTGGCTCCTCACTGTCACGTGGCTTTCAGAAGCTGGTGAGACACTCCAATATTTTGGACCTGGGGCTGGAGGGTGCGTGTATGTGTGTGTTGACTGGCACGTCACTGTTCCTGCTTGTCACATGGGCCGTCAGAAGCTGGTCTCGTTCATGTGCGGTTTGGGGGTGGTTGTCGCGGCAGCAGCGGCGCTGACGGGGCTGTCCGCGCCGGGCGGACTTTCGGGTGACGCGGCGACGTCCGACGACGGGGAAGCGGTGCCGCGGCGCTCCGGGGCGAGCGTTTGTGAGCGTGTCG